AGGATCCCGACGCGGGGCTCGATCCTGGGACCCTGGGATCATGACCTGAGCCGGAGGCAGGCGCTTCACCGACTGAGCCCCCCAGCGCCCCTAACGTGATCCTTTTTGAAAGCCTCCCTCCAGCTCCTTGCGGAAAGGGAGGAGGGTTGTAGTATCTGAGAGCAGCAGAGGAAAGGAAGCCTCTGGAATGTGCCGAGCGGCCCCTGCGGAGCTACCCGCGTCGCCCCCTTGTGGCATTTCCCTGGCACAAGCACCTGGCCACGTGGCTTATCACCAATCCCCATCTGAGGAAGCCGAAGCTCGGAGGGCACGGGCACCTCGCCCACAGCCCGTAGACGCCAGAGCTGAGCCGGAAGCGGTCTCTTGGGCGGGAACGTCTGTAGCGGCCTCTGCTGCCTCCCCAGAGCTCCCAGGGCCGTCAACTCTCAGTGCCAGGGAGCGATTCAGACTCCGAAGCATCGAGAAGATAAAGCCCGAGGAGTAGGAGGCGAGTGGGAATCACACGGAATCGCGGCTGGAGGCCGCCCGCCGAGCTCGCCCCGGGGGACAGGGAACGCGGTCTGATAAAGGGAGAGCTCGCAGGCTATTAGCTTCCCGGGGGTTGGCATGGGCTGGGTTCGCCCAGAAGCAGAACTGGAACGAAAGATTCGGAGCAAGTGACAACACAGAGAGGAGGGGCGGTCAGCAGCTAGGGAAGGGGGGTCGGCCAGGATCCCAAGGGGTTTATCCTTCGACAGCCAGTAAAATCCAGGTCCGTCCTCTGGCCCAGCTGGCCGCCTGGCTGAGCCTGCCTCGCCATGTAACTCTGCTCCAGCCACACTGGCCTCCCCACCGTCCTTCAGATTCACGAAGCACACCCTAGCCTCAGCCTGTGCAACTTCATAGCCCCTGCTCGGGACCCTCTTCCTGGAGAGCTCTCACTTCCTCCAGGGCTTGCCCAGAGGACGTCTTTTCCAGGAAACCCCATCACCCTTCTGAAAAACGCCCCCACCCCTCTTCCCTTTCCCCTGCATGCCTTTTCCCCTCACCACCTGACTCTGCATCGTATGTATATTTTTGTTAGCTTATTTATTGTCAGTCTCATGACAGAGAAATGCAAGCTCTATGAGGGTAGGGGCTTCTGCCTGTTTTGATCACTGCTTCTTCCGTGTCTAGAACAGTTCCTGGTACAGAGTAGAGGGAAATAAACACTTGCTGAATGAGTGAATGAACACATGAACACAGAAATCCAGAATATATTCCCTTAAGGCAGCATTCCTGGAAGTCAGACTTCCTTGGGGGAATTTAGTACAAAGGCAGATTTCATAGTGCCCTGACTGGAAAGGAGAGGAATTCTGAGGGTTCCCTTGGTAGTGTTACCCCCCCCCCCCATACAGCTGTGCAGAGGCCTCCAGAAGAAGGTGCCAGGTCAGTGGAAGGAATAATTGCTTGAGAGGCTGGGCACTTGGCACCAGTGTCCCAGCCCACCCCTCCCCGCCAGGTTCCCAGACCCCAAGCCCAGCCAGGAAGCAGGAGAACTGTCAGGTTCAAGGGGTACCTATGAATTTAAAAAATGTAGCTATCAGGGGCACCTCTGATAGACAGAACATTAGAGGACCCCCACCCCTTCTCGTACACTGTTTAAGCCTTATTGATTCTGTGACCTCTGGTAAGGGAGGGTCCTCAGGACTGACTGAGATTGAAGCTGAGTCAAATTATTTTTTAATAAATAACTGAGAAATAGCAACTTGGTACTTTAGTTGCTTTTACAACTAGCTGTGGGTAAATTAATTACCAAGCTGAAGTAGGTTTTTTAACCTTCTTATGATATGTATCCTTTAATTTATCTCTAGTCGTGTTAATAATATCTAATATTTACTCAATATTAAATTTAAATTATACTCAAGAAAAATAATGCTTTTGAAACTAGTATTAATACACATATTTGAATTGAAAGATGAAGTAAGACTATTGATGTCACCAGAATCAGATTTATTTTGATATAGAGAAAAATTGCTGGAGATGTCTACTTTGTTTTGTTTTGTTTTTAACAAAACTACTTTTAATACTTTGGGAATGGAGGTATCTTTTAAATGCTGATTCCTGGGCCCTGTCCCAGATCTGCTGAGTCAGAGCCTTGGGTGGTAGGGCCCTGGAATTTGCATTCTTACCAGGCTCCACACAAAATTCTAGCACCTTCTATGAAGTTTGAGAATCCTTATGACATCTGTACTCGGGTGAGTGGGACTATCAGAATAAGCAGAGGGGAGGGGTAAGAGCTAAGCCCCCTCTACCCCCCTGCTCCAGAGCACTTGGCAAGGGATCCTGTGATTAAAAGCCCACCTCCCTTTCTCTTAGACATGGAAAAGGCTATTCTCTCCTGGCCCAAGAGACTCTGTCTCTAGAGGCCTGCTGAGGTGGCTGAAAAAACCAAGTGGGGGGAGGTAGGTTTGACTTCATAAAAAAAGAAGACTGGACAGAAAACAGAAGGAAAATGGTAGAATTGCCAAATAATAAAAGTTAATGCTAGGAAGAAACCTTAAGGTTTCTTTAGGACATCGTTGAAACAGTAAAGAAAACACAAACTTCTTGAAGAGCAGCAGCCTATGCACTAGATCGAGAGAAAATCTCCATGGCTTAAGCGAAAGAGTGGCCGTGGTGGAGATGCCTCGGGTTCACCGTGGCTCAGCTCTGCATTTTCTCCGTCCCTCTGGGAGAGCCATCTCACTAATGTGCCTTGGGTTCCTCATCTGTAAACTATGCACAGTTATCTCTGCCCTTCCCCTTGACCTTTGGAAAGGTATACTGGTGGAGTCCTCTGGGAGAAAGTTCGCACCTTGGTCAATCTCACCGAAGGATGAGCAGAAATGCATGTCCCTGGATCCCAGGCTTATGATCTACTTGCTGCTGCTTGACCACGGCCGCCAAGACTTCGAACTTTTGTCTTCTTTCTACCTGGACCAGTCTTTCTCCTTACCTCCATCTTGGCTTATGGTTCTTTTTCCTGCCTGGAACATTCTTTCATCTCCACATGCTGTCTTTTCATCTTTCAGACCTCCTCAGACAGACCTGCCCAGGCCTCCTTATCCCCCCACTCTCACCCCCAGGGACTCTCTGTTACATCATTCTCTTGTACCTTTGTCTTAGGATGTGGCACTCTCTGAAATCATCTAGTTGTTTCATTTATTCACAGGTTTATTGTCCACATCTTCACTGGCATGTGAGTTCCTCGAGGGCAGGAGCGTTTTCCCACAAGCACATTCCCTGAAAAGATGCCCATACATATCCAGAGAATGAATGAACGAATTACTCATCCTTCTCAGTTCACCTCCTCTCTGTTCCACTTTCAGTTCTCCCTTTTGTCTCTTGATCTTTTTATCTCTGCCCTTCCCCCAGCCCCCACCTCTTTCTCTTTGGACTGTCACAGTTTCCCCTAGATGGTGCTGGAGGGGAAGGTTTGGGGCCCTTTCATTCCTTCTAGGGTATTGGTCTGATACCTAGCCTCAGAGGGAATCATCGAAGACAGTCAACATTTCTCTAGCTAACGCTGCTAACAATATGGCTCTGAGGCACTATTTAGCCCACACTCTGTCCTCATTAAAGATGGCCTTCTGGCCATTCAGTCCAAGAAGGGAGGGAATGGGGAGGTGGAGGGAGAAAACTCCATCCTGCCATATTGTCTGATAGGCATTGGAGGGGGGGAATATGTGGAACCTCAAAATGAAAAGCCCTCCAAGAGTCGAAAAAAAGGAGGAAAATAAGATTGCCTTCAGACAAATAAGCAGGAAACCCACCAACATAGGATCAGGACCACAAGCTGGGGCCAATCCCTCTAAAGGAAGAATCTCTCTCTGACGGAGATGTTGGTCAATCCTAGAATTAGGTAAATGTTTATTTAGCCTCATTACTTGCCAAACACCTTGCTGAGAGATTTCCTGGCATTATCTCCTATAATCCTTCCAACGGCCTTTTCTTTGCTGCCATTGGCCTTATCATCAATGGGAACAGGAAACATGTCTTTTGTTTCTCATAATTCTTTTCCATAATATTTTGTCCAAACATCACAGCACAGAACACAATACTGGGAGGAACAGTCAGCATTGGTGGATTGATTCCTGTAGCCAGAGGGTTCCTCCCTTCTCAAATAATCTCCTCCCATGGCTTCTCTATCTACAATAGCTGCATTGCCCTTAACAATAGATTCTTCTGTTCCCTCTGTGAGGAATACTCTTAATCTTTCTTCGACAAACATCATTTATTTTAAAGCAAGATAGCCTGATGGATGGGTGAAGGTGGTCAAAACCATGTTTGAATTCAGGTGCTGCTAGAAACAGCCATGTGACGACAGTGGGCAAGTTAACCCTTTGTGTCTGTTTCCCTAAAGGGAAATCGATCTCAAAATAGCTAATCCTAGAATTACTCTAAGAGTCATTGTAAAGAGTTGAAGTGTAAAGTGTTAATTATTATAAAAAGTTAAAATGTAAGTAAAGACAAAGCACAGTACTTGGAAAGAAAAGTCAAGCCAGAAAGAATATTTTGGGGAGAAGATGGTAAGTGCTGACCAAATGATAGCTGGTAGGATTTTGTTTGTTTGTTTGTTTTTTGGTTGCAAGCAAAAGAAGCTGCATTTGACTAAGTTAAGAAAAAAAAAAGGAATTTAAGAAGATGCTGGGGTGCTCACTGGCTTAAAGGGAAATCAGAATGGTCAGTCTTGGGAAGGACCTCAGCTGCTGAAATTCATTTAAGAGCCTGATTCTGGGTATCGCGCTGAGATGATTTAGCTCCAATTGCCTTCCATTCTAATTCTGGTCTCAGTTCACTTCACATTTGAAATCCAGGATAGAAAATCTGGGTCAGGTCACCTCTTTTTGGGTAGCAACGAGGGTAAGCACATGACTGAGAGTCACCAAGATCAGAGAGAACAGGGCAGGGGTTGAAACCCTTATCAGTCTCCTATTGCTGCTGTAATGAATTGCCACACACTTAGTGACGTGAAATGACACACATTTATTATTTTCCAGTCCTGCGGATCAGAAGTCCAAACTGTCTCCACGGGCGAACATCAGTGTATCAGCCATGCTGTGTCCCCACCACCTGCTGCGATAGCCTGACATAAGGAAGGTAATCTTGGACTGAGTATCCCATCACCTTTGCCACGACGTACCGTAACCTGATCAGTGGAGTGCTATCCCACCGTATCCACGGGTCCTGCCCACGCTCAATGGGACAGGATTATACACACCATCTGTATGTCTAAAATCTACCTTCTAGTAAAGTCAGGATAGACAGGGAAACAGATTGTAGAACAGCATAGGAGATGTGGGCACAAAAGTGTGTATGAGACCTTACGGGCAATTATGAGTAAAGGTGTCTGGGGAAGGAGGGGAGAAATGGGGGTTCAGAAGGGAAATGAATTCTGAGCTGAGTTTTGATGGGTGAAATTTGGTCTCTAATGTGAGCTGCACATATATACCAAGGGGGAAGCAAATTTCTCAGTAAAAGACTAATGCTTTAGTCTAGACCATGCCTGAATTCCAAAAATCCCAGAAATTAAATCTAGGCAGAATCAATCACTTAATAAGCCATTCAGGCCACCCTGGCTTGCTTTGGCAGTTTAAGGGAGCTTAGATAATGCATCTGGAGCCCATTTCTAAAGCTTGCTGCATCTTGAAATTCTTCTTATCTTAGGATTACTGGTGAATTTTCAGAATCTTTTTGCTAAAAAAAAAAAAAAAAAAAAAAAAAATCGCCACATAGAAGCAGGCACATGTGGAGTTGCTGGGAGGGAAAAACAGTCCCAGTATTGTCTAGATATTATAGTAGTTGAATTCGCCAATCAATCAGCCAGTGGCCCTGGGCTTATTAGTTCCTTTTTAATCTGACATTGCAATATAGAATGGCAGGACGGTGTGAAATGTGAAAAAGAAAAGAAGGAGGGAGGGCGGGAAGATTATTAAAGCAAGCACAGACTGAAAGGGAGTGAGTAGGAAGTAGTGCATGAAGTTGCAGCTGGCTAGTGGTGATCAATCAAAACTCCACTGGCCAGTGGAGGGGACGCAGGGGTCCTTACCTAGACGTATCTTTGTCATCAGGTCTGGGGTTGGTCCAGCCTAGAGTTAACCAAGCCTGAAAACTTGGAGAATTCAGAGTTTGTTTGTTTGTAAATTTTTATCCAAGTAACTCATGAGCAAGTTTTTAATATCAGGTTTACAGAGGGATGTGTGATGAAAGGCGGTCCTCTCCATGGATGCTCCCCTCTGTACCCAATCCCTGTTTTCAGTTGTTGGAGTAGTTACTGCCCTGCCTACACCTACTGTGTTTATGTCCCTCTAGCTTTACGAAATAATTTGAGGGGAAATCTCCGGACTCTCTTTAGTAGATGAAGGTTTATCTCACCTATAACATCATACCAACCCCTAACTTCCATGAAGTTTTACCACTATTTGCACTGCCTCTGTTGATTATTTTTATCACTTTATTTTTTTTTTTAATTTGAGAGAGAGGGTGTACACACAAGTGGGTGTGGAGGGAGGGACGAAGGGAGAGGGAGAAGCAACTCCCCACTGAGCAGGGAGCCCTACAGAGTTCAATCCCAGGACCCTGAAACCATGACCTGAGCCAAAAGCAGAGGCTTAACTGACTGAGCCACACAGGACCCCCTTTTTATCACTTTAAATCAACCTTTATTTCTTATTGCATTGCCCATTAATAGTAGTGCCCCTTAACTTTCTCCCTTGCGTTGGAAGGATTTTTTATAACAAGGATGTTGGCAGGTGAAGATAGTTACACAGGATGTTAATAGATGGGCCATAAAAGAGGTGTTTCATGTAGAAATATGTTTAAGAAATCGTGGGAAAATAAATAGAACACGTTTCTCTGTAATGGATCGTCTCAGAAGCTTTGATGTGCAAATGTGTGGTGTGAAGCTTCAACAGTGCATGTAACGTGCAGCATTTCTCAAACTTTTGATCATAGGAACTTTTTTACTATGGGACATCTATTAATATCTCAGGGAAATGTTTATGAAAAGGTGGAGGAGGCAACCTCCTGTTTGATGTAGTGGGAGGAGTACCAAAGTCTCCTTTTAGCAAAACAGGCATGACCTACTCACCCGCCAAGCACCTGCTACCTGCCAGTGTTCCGGTAAGCGCTAGCATATTGCACCCCATGAGCTCTGTCCTAATAGCATCTCCATTTTACATAGAGAGGGATTGAGGTGTAGCAATGCTGAGTAGTTTATCTAGCATCCCACAGCTAGTAAAGTGGTGGGATCAGGATTCAAACTGAGGCTTACAGTGACCTAACTACTCTAGCCTATCCGCCTCATGGCCGCCACACCACCTGAAATGCAAAAGTACTTTTAATAGAGCTTAGTCGCTTTACCTAGAGTTCCATAATCGTTATGCTGGCCCTTACCTCTGTAGAGCAGGTACACCAATAGGATTTACTTTCATCATCTCATTTGAGTCTCACCCAACCCTGTCACATAGATGGAGCTGATGTATATATAGAAGTTGAGTGTGCTGGTCAACGCAACATAGCTAGCCAAGGACAAAAATAATCAGGAGTTTGCTTTATTGCTGGCTATATCCAAAAGAGTTGACTTTCCAGATTTAGCAGATAAAAACATAAGACTCCGAGTTACATTAGAATTTCAGATAAGAGGGGGCCTGGGTGTCTCAGTCGGTTGAGCATCTGCCTTCAGTTCAGGTCATGATCCCAGGGTCCTGGGATTGAGTTCCGCATCAGGCTCCCTGCTCGGTGGGGAGTCTGCTTCTCCCTCTCCCTGCTCTGCCTGCTTGTGCTTTCTCTCTCTCTCTGATAAATAAATAAATAAAATCTTTAAAAAAAACAAAACAAAACAAAAACAAACAGAATTTCAGATAAAGAATAACTGACTTCTTAAATAATAGTTCTTTAATGTAAGTGGTCCTGAGCAATACTTGAGACATACTTATACTAAAATATTGCCCATTATTTATCTGTCATTTTTAATTTTTTTTTAAGATGTTATTTATTTATTTGACAGAGAGAGACACAGTGAGAGAGGGAACACAAGCAGGGGGAGTGAGAGAGGGAGAAGCAGGCTTTCTGCAGAGCAGGGAGCCCGACGCGGGGCTCGATCCCAGGACCCTGGATCATGACCTGAGCCGAAGGCAGACGCTTAACGACTGAGCCACCCAGGTGCCCCTTATCTGTCATTTTTATCTGCATTTTATCTTACAAGCAAGAGTAAAACTCAGAACACAGGATTAAGTGAAAGAAGGGCGGGGTGGGGGGAGTGACCAGGAAGCAGTGTGAGTGTGCCTGGTCTCTGAGCGACCGCTGTGTGCCGATGGTTTAAGATGGACCGTGGGATAATGATTCTCTCAGCCCTCTGCACAGCCACACAAGCCTGGGGTGGCAGGAACACAAGGTCAGGCACCTCTAGCCACAGCAGTCTCATCCAGGGCTCCCTGAAGCCTGACCCAAGTGTGGCAAGGTTCAGTGGTGGGCGCATGCTTCTCTCAGGTGGCATCCAGAATAGTCCCATCTGGACCTTTATGTCAACGGCCGGCTGGAAAGCACTCAGCTGCCCACCGTGAATAAGGGACTCACGGACCCGCTAGAGTTCATAATCCAAATGCCCACAGAGCAGGGCACACAGCCCTAAGGTGCAACTTGTTAGGGTGAAGGTGGTTGGGGGCTCCTGGCGGGTGCAGCTCTAGGCAGTGTAGCCCCAAATCTCTATTTCATATATAACAGGTAAGTGTTGTTTTGTGGCTGATTGCTCGTACTAGCAACCCAGCTAGGTTCCTGGTGACTGCTTGTTCTATAAATTGGAGCTTCATTGTTATTTTCAAATACTTGATATGCAAAAGATAGTTTTCATTTGAACTCTGCGTTACTGTTATAAAATAAAATTTAACATACCATTTGTCAATAAAAGAAAAGGAAGCCTATTAAAATCTTTAAATATAACTTTAATTCTTGCAAACGTTTGAGTGGTCGTAAAATAAAAGAAGTTTTCAAATTTTTTATCACCTCCGTGTGAAGCTGTTTTCAGTGGTGATGATGAGAACGTGAAGAGAACACATTAAAAAGGCAATTAGGATTTGCTTGTAACCATTCCAACATAAAACTGGAGAGAAAAAGCTATGTTGGCTTCCACTTCCACTTGGGATATCGAAAGTTACAGGAAAATTGCTCCCACCCTAGCAATAAGCACGAGCCAGATAATCTACAAAATCGTAATTCTTTAACGCATGTAAGAACATTCAGGTTGTAAAGAAACCCACTGAACCCAAATACAAAAAGGGGCAGTGACCTCCTAGGAGAGCTGTTTTTATGCTTGGCAGCACAGTGAATGGAAAGAGGAAACTGATAAGGAACCAGCAGCTGCACATTTAGATGATGTTAAGGAGGTTTAGACTCCCCAGGAGCTAGGACACAGCGTTCTGCACCCACCCACTCATTCCCTTGGGCCTTCACTGAGAGCTCGCAAAACAGCTTGGGGGTAGGGGAAAAGAGCAAAAGCCCCGAGGCACAGGTGTGGGGAGCCTGCTGACCTCCGAGCAGAACAGAAGGGAGCTCCACGCCCCACCCCCACCACCACCCTGGAACTCAGAGCCTGGCTGATTATGAGGCAGCAGCTGTCTGCCTCTGGGAGGGAGCTGGAGAGCTGAGGAGAACATCTCTTTTCCCAGCTACAGGTGCGCATGACCTGCCATGTCTAAGGAGAACTGAGAAATTCCACTGATACTTATAGCCTCACTTTACTAGGGTAGGTCCTTTTCCCTATTCAGGGAAGGCCTGGAGAGCTCAAGAAGACACCTCGGCCCCTGCTGAAGTCCTAGGGCAGCACAGGAACACTGAGAGAAACCCCAAGCCTTGCATTGAGGACAAGGCAGGGGCCATGTGTAGTTGGGAGAGGGCGGGAGGGTAGAGACAGGAGCAAGACAAAGGCAAACAGGGCCTGAGAAAGTCGAAGACAGAGAAGGACTGATAAATTCTCCCCAAGCATTCACATGGCAAGTCTTGCTAGAGGGAAGGTTCTGACTCCTCTGTCAAGTAATGTGAAGCCTGTAGCAAATTGAATCTAACTAAAGCAGCAAAACCTTCAGACCAAGATCAACTACAGA